TGAATTTTGCGACTTTTGTTCGTAAACTTCCAAAAGTAGGTTTTCAAATTGTTGCTGTTGATTAATTTTTAATAACCTCTTTTTAAACAAATTTCACAAGGCACCACAGTAGTAAACAATAACTATAACTATAACCTCACTTTTCTAATAAATTAACCGAAGAGAATTGGTTAGTTTACATACTAACCGACGAGCTGGTTATTATGTATTACTACGAATATTTAGTTCACACTTTATCCAAATACTGTGGATAGTTTGTAAACTAGCCCAAAATGTCGGTTAATTTGTGTACTTTTCTTGTGGTTTGTACTTTGGCGAGAAATATTGTATAGTTTGTAAACTAGCTGGTTAGTATACAAATCAAACAATATTCATAGCTATTTTAATAGAAATATGATTTTCCATCAAAATAGCAGGACATTTGGATAGTTTGTATACTATCCAGCTAGTCTATAAACTAGCCAAGTAAACACTTTAACCGTAACATATGTTTATTTATTTTGTTCATTATTTAAGTAACATAAGTTGCATTACACAATAAGTCAACTATAAAGCAATACCACAAATGCAAAAAAAGGTCGGCCACTGCTTGAAGTACTCGAAAAAAATTAGTGTACAAAACGAATTGTTAGCGGGAAGTCAACTAGCTAAAAACATCAACAAATCGACCTCTTTGATTTACCGCCCATAGACGGAGATATTATATTTTTTTACTTAAAATATTATTTTATTCTTCATTGAGTCAAAATAATTTATTTCAATTTTTTTTTCGCATTGAATAATGATTTTTTATTTCACTTATTAATTAATATAATTAATCTTAGAAAGTTAAATGTTTGTTGATTATGTTTTTTTTGCAATGAGCCTATCCGACATTTATTCTTAGTAAGTATTTAATACATTTTTTTTTCTAATTTGTCTTACAAAGTAACATTTTTAGTAATCTAAAGTGTCCAAATAATTCACCTACTTTAAGTAACTAGTTACATAAATTAAACTGGTTATCACAATTATGTTCATTATTAAAAAAGAAAATAAATTAAAAAAAAAACAAGTTTGGTATTTAAATTAATATGTGTATAGGTACCTCTATTGCTTTTGAAAGTATATATAGAAATAACGAAGAACGGTTACATAAAAATACATTTGGACAATGTGCTAAGGTACAATTAGTAATAATTCTGGTTCATTCGCTATTTTAAAAAGTCATCCTAAACCTGAACAAAATAATCAAAACACTGTTTCACCCAATACACGAGAAAATATTAAAATATCCCTAACTATTTACTATGCAAAATAACCCACTTTCTTGACAAGAAAAAAGAAAACTGTTTGTGATGATAAATATTTAAATAAAGTATCAGATTGGTGTGAAGTTGACTATTATTTCCAAATATTCATTTTCTAATATCTTTGATAGAAAGTACAAAAAATTATCGGTTAGTCATTTTTTCCAAACAATATTTAAATAATAAACACACATCACGACGCCACTGGCTCTTCCTAATTTCTTCTGCTTCTATATGTTGTAAGCGACCAGCTCGTCTATACCGATTAATCTTAGCAAATTAGAGAAAGATAATAAATAATTGGAATACTGTATATTTCGTACAGAGTTAGATCATGTTATTTTTAAATATTATTTTCGTGGTATACTAATGTCAAAAATCTGATGTGTTCAACACATGACTTTCCTATCTAGTTATTACAGGCTTTTTTCAGTTATTTTGTACAACCTTTTGTAGCACCTTTGTAAATGTTTAGAGAATACACAGACATCATCGCAAAAATAGTGAAAACGTATTCATGGAACCCCAAAACGTAAAAATCCGTCGAAAACTCGAGGTCGAAAAAATCATGATTCCTATACTTTCCTTATCTGTATACAGATCGATAGGAAAGTAAAAAGCATCGTATAATCAATACGCCCGGTAGTCACTCCTTTTTAAAAATATATTGAGATATAAAAAATTATTTTTTTTTGGAGCATCTTCATATCATGTAAAATCTAATGCTTATCGTAATTAAAAAATACACCAGTCCTTTACATTGGCCTAATATATAGTGCTAAAGTTAAGCCTCAGTCCCCTTCCATTTCTAAATTCCGTTATTTTTAAAACAAAGATGCATTTTAATAAAATATTTTTGTGCCAATATTATTTCTATTTCTACGAAAAAAAAAAAAAAAAATAATAATAATATCGGGATTTATAATATGGATCGGCATCACTGCAATATATCCGTCGAGTGCACAAAATTCGGTCACCTGCGAGTCAGTAGCAGAAGCCTCCATCCAAATTAGGGAAAATAGTTTTGAGAACGTTTCTGGTTTATCGCTATTACGGGTTCGAGTATAAGATATGTAACGGCTCCCGATCGCCGGGGAGGTCGTATCAAACTGCCACCTTAAACTGACATTGTTATAATATTTCTTTGAATGAACATTATTATATTAAATGGTCAAAAGGGAAAATAATTAACTAACGATCTCTCCTGGACTTTTTCTTTTGTTTTTATTTGAATTTTAATCGAGAGGTCGATTTGACATCTGAGTTTTATTGTAAAATTTTAGTGTAGAGTTTTCTTTTAAAATGTATATTGTAACAATTAGATACTATTGTAAACCAAAGATAAATAATCAATAAATGTAATAAACACATTGCGTTTTTTTTAATGTCCCAATAACCGATAATTGACGTTTGATATCGATTGATTCATTCTTTACTTCGACAATCTTCATTTTAGGCACAATATATTTCGACGTCGGTACGAAGAATCCGAAAATAATATTAGACGGTCACGAATTTTTGATATACAAGAAAGAAATCAACCAGACCACTTGGATGTGCAATCATTATTTCAACAAGAGGGCAGTTCGTTGTAGAGTCAAATTGGTAACTAGCGGAAGAATTGTCAACATCTATGGAGTCCATACGCACGAACCCTCGAAAAATAAACAAAATAAATACAAAAACATGTTGTTACAAAACGTGACCATCATCAGATGTAACGAATTGTTAACGGGACGGCCTTCATTAGACAACGTATATTAGTGTCAAATTGGGGATATTTTTCATCTTTTCATCGATATTTAAGTGACTTATATGTAAACTCTGCTTATAACGAAATTGTTTAATATAATTATGGAAAAAAATCTCCAGTTTTGGTTCTTTCTAAATATGTCATTTAAGTATTGTAATAAAATTAATTTTATTTCTAAAAACAAAATGATTCATCAAATTGAAATACCTACTATACTTTCTTTTCTGTTATAATTAATAATATCTCAATATAATTTTCTTATAGAACAATTTTTTATATAATAATTTGCATATGGTCCTTCGAACCGGATAACAATAGTAGCAATTATAACAAAGCAAGAGTTGTTTTTGACTTCGGCTCAAATGTCAAACAAGAAAACACTCAAGGAATGTTTATTTGTCAATCTGAAATAAACTGATATCGTTACCATTTTGATAAAAACTTTCGTTTACATGATTATTAACGATACTGATTTTTCTGTTATTTGGTAAGGCGAAGAACACGAATTGCTGTGTTCGGATCCATCCTCAGGACATTTTTTCTATTTTTAAATAAGTGTGCAATACATAATTTTTAGAATTTTGTAGGTTAAAAACAATGTATTCAGGGATTTCCAAAGAATTTTAAGTACTATTTATTTTTGGGTCGATAACTGATAGTTTTCGGAACTTTTCTAAAGATTTTAAAAATAATATTTTATAAATAAGATTTTATAAATAATATATTATAAATAGGATTTTATAAATAAGATTTTATAAATAAAATTTTATAAATAAGATTTTTTAAAAAAGATTTTATGAATAAAATTTTATAAATAAGATTTTAAAAATAAGATTTTATAAATAAGATTTTATGGAAACAATTTTAAAAATAATATTTTATAAAAGATTTTATAAATAAAATTTTATAAATAAGATTTTATAAATAAGATTTTATAAGATTTTGTAAAGATTGATTAAATAAGCTTTTATAAATAAGATTTTATAAATAAGATTTTTTAAATAAGTTTTTATAGATAAAATTTTATAAATAATAAGATTGTATAAACAAGATTTAATAAATTAGTAAGGGAATTGATTTTAAAGTTCCGAAAACTGACCAGTTAAATATACTAAAAATAGGATGATAAATTCCTAAACAAATCCCAATATTACCCCTACGAAATAATAAAATCTAATTTAGAACCCCCCAGAAATTTAATAAAATATTCTGCCCACCTGGGGATTCGAACCCACCTACTCCTATTCTACGCACAGTGCTCTTACCAATTCAGCTATCACTGACATAGTCAATAATTTCCAAATTGTTACAGAAAATTTTCAATTTTTCAACAAATTATTTTTCTTTATTTCGTAAGGGGTAATTCTGGGATTTGTTTGGGAATTTTCAAGGAATAAAATCCAAATGAATATATTACCTTGGAAAATAACACGCGCCATCATCAATTCTATATTTAATTAAAATATTATCTGAACATAAAAAAATGTTGTAGGTCTCATATACTTCGAGTCTGGTATAAAAAACCCAAAAATAATAGTAGGCAACTACGATTACCGATTATACAGAAGGCTGACCAGTAAGACGGTCTGGCGTTGCAGCCAATACTACGTTATAGACAAGGAGCTGAGATGCAAGACTCTTATAGAAACGTCAGGCAGGGTTGCCTACGTCACAGGTGAACACAATCACGAGCCGACAAGGAAGAAACATGGCTGCTCTAATATGATGTCACAGTTGGTTACTATTGTACAAAAATAATGAATTAATGTTTTGTAAATTTCGCCAAAGAATATGTGTAATTTTTTTATTGGCAATTAAAAATAATACAATTTCAGGAATGTTATTATTATTGTATTATTAGCAAAAATTTCGATCAGACAAGTGAGGATATAATTTTATACAGGATGTTTTTTGAAATACATGTAGATTAATATTTATAAATAAATTTATTTTAATTTATGATTAGTAAGTAGTTTGAACTTTGTCTTCAAAAAATAGACATAATAACTACTCTAAATCTCAGACAACAATCGAATCACATTATTATGAATTAATTAAACATATGGTACGTTTTTAACAAAATATATTACAATTGCTACGATTAATTCCCAAATACACAGACATTGTTACGAAATGATCAGTAGTTAAAACTAATTTTTCCCCAGATCTGGGGGGAAATGTTGAAGATATGACAACGTCGCTTTTTTATAAAAACTCAGCTAAGTACTTTCCATATTTTCCTATTTAAAGCGACGTTGCCATGTGTTCATATTTTCCCCCAGTTTTGGGTAAAATGTAGGGGATGTGCAGAATGCAGGATCTACAAGGCTCAAAAGTATGAGATTTTAAACCGTTCATTTACAAACTTTTTATTTTTTTATGTTTTAACATTTATGCACGATTTTTTATATTTATCTACTTTTTTACGTCAGTTTTAAGATTGTTTTGACGTCCAACAGTCTTTTTGACATTTGAAAATTGAGATGACTTTTAGAAATATTTTCTGACGTTTGGCACCAATGATCGATGCTTTATTTTTAAAAACTTGGCACCATTTTTTGACGTTTTGACGGTTGAGATGACTTTTAGAAGTATTTTCGGACCTTTGACACTAATGATCGGTATTAAATTTACCAGAAAAGGTTTAAAATGTTTTAAACGAATCCGATCGTTAATATGAATGTCCTCAAATAATAAATAACTTTCTTAAAAATAAAAAAATACCATATATAGTCTGTTAAAAAAATACACGAAAAAAATATATATGTATACGCAATATTTTGTTAAAGAAAATAAATTTTTATTGCAGTATGAATCTAAGTCACCTATGATGTACAGTTTCTTCCTACAGTTACTTATGATTTATCTGATTCGTTTGTATAAAACAAAAATAGTATAGGTCTCAGGATTGATCTTTGTGGTACTCCCATAGTGACTGTTTGATAAGTTAATTTTACTGAACACGTATTTTTTATAGATGTACTATTTACATACTAAAATCTTAACACTTAATATCTACATGTATTTTAATAGCATCCTGTGTAGTATATATTTTTAAAGTAATAACATTTTCCGATAAAAAACTTTTGACTTGTCTGTTTTATTACAGGAACCAGATTTATCAGTACTAAACTGAATGTAGCTTCACTCATAAGGAACCCAACCGGATCATTGCAATCTAACATTTCCTCGGATAAAAACGATATAAAACTCGAAAGGATCATCGACAACCAAAGATTCATCATCCAGAACCAATCAATCATTTTAACATCGCTGGATACGTTGGTTCGAGAAGTAGCTACAGGATTTAATAAAAATATTTCAATAGACATTAACAATTTGCGTCAGAATCTTTCAGAAGAGACTATTAAATCTTTCTGTCCAGTTGATTCTCTTGATAAACTCAAAGATTTTGAAGAGAAATTAAAAATAGAAATGTTTCGGCAAAGTATAATCGATCAATTGTCTGTAGTGTGTGGTACATCCGGGGTAAAAATAGGTATTGACAGTTGTTACAAACTAATAGATCACTTCTTGACACGCGATTTCGTCCTGCAATGCTCCTGGACCGGAAACAGTAGAGCAGGAGAATCCAAGGTAGCCTTAAAATATTTCATCAATTTCAGAAAAATTTTCTTGGATATCGTAAGGCTAACAGATAAGACTTTCACCGAAATGGATTGTGATAATTTTTTTAAAAGGATCATGAAGAATAGTACGCAAAGACTTAAATCTAAGACTATTTGTTCGCATAAAAATAGACCTACCAATTTGACGTATAGAAGGAGGTTGAATCAAATGGATGCAGGCAGCGTAAATATTTATGATATTGAAAATAGTTCGGATGAAGATGACAATTATGAAATTGTAGATAATGTTTTGTGTGATCCAGAAAAAATGGTTCTAAAGTAGGCAATGACGGACAAAATTGAAAGATCAAAATAACTTTCCTAAAGAGAAGTTTGATGAGCATAGGTAGTACCCCCCTTTCCTTGCTCTATGGTTATGTATTTTAAAGTCTAAATTCTCTTGAAAGTATTTAGAAAGTTCCAAAATAACAATTGGTAGTGCAAGTCTTTCCCACCTTTGCTTCCGTTCCGTCATTCTTTTAAAGCGGTAATTGTGATTGAATCTTGTTAGACATGGGTAACGCACTAAAATTCTTTGCGTTGATACACTAACTCCGGCGCACTCTATTGCGCCAACTCATTGCGTTAGCGCAATTGCGTTATTGCGTCACACCACTGCCTGCGCCGAATGAAGTCGATGCACCTCGGTTTATCGCATGATACCGGTGTTATTCAGCACGGGCTTTCTTTTTATAAGGGTCAAACCGTGTTCAAGGCAATATCGCAATTGGGAATTTAACTAAATTTTTTTTATTATATGTTTAAAAATAAACGAAAATATAACAGTGTAATGCACCCATTTTTTTATTTTATTGTGTTCGGATTTTACAAAGAATACAAAAATTCCAATTTATATAAAAAAGATATACCTAACTTTTGTATACTAGTAGCCATTCAAAATGGGAAGAACTAAAAACTGACGGTGTACAAAGTTAAAATCCATAAAATTCGACCTACAATCCTACAAATGATGTGACATGTTGCAAAAAACATAATTACTTGATAAATTTTGGGTAATCTGCATTACGAGTTGCATCAATTACGTAAATTAAAATTCTCAACTCGTCACGGAAAACGGGAATCAGTGCCTGGCGCATGGCGCATCAACAACTCGCGATCCTGTCGAGTCAGTATCGAAAATTGCGTTGCGCTGATACAGTAACAGCTGGTATATCAACGCTCGTAACGCATACAACTGCGTTAACGCAATAAGGCAACGCAGCGTTGCGTTACCCATGTCTAAATCTTGTAGATATGATCTTGGGTACAGGTGTGTAGGGTGGGTTCGATCATTTCGAACAAGGCCTTTAGATCATTGAGACGCCTTGTTATCAATGATCATAGCTAGAGGTTTAAAAAAAAGATGAAAAACAATTACCGAAAACATTTTATTGCAATAAGTCTTAATTCTCACGAATTTAAGTACAATGTAACTTATAACTCAAAATAGATACATACAACGAACATTACGAAATCAGAATTCCAAGGCAAAATTATTTTGATCATGATTTATAACATTTATAAAAAGTTCTTTATAGAAATTTTTAAATGAACTATTGGATTTTTTTGTCTATCTGATGTATGTTTAATTGTGTCAACTAACTCCCAATTTATTAGCAGCATATTTAGATGCATGACGTTAAAATGCAAATTAAATGCTATGGTATCTACTCCATTATATGGGCTTAATTTCACCCATCGGTCAGTTGTAAGACGTTGTGGCTTTTTATGTGTTTGAAGAAACCATCCATTTATTACCATTGAGTGTTTTTAGTCGTCGTTTCTAAATAGCAACCCAAAACTTGGTACAAAGGTGGTTTTTGAATCTTTTTTTGTTTTTTGTATTAGAAATATGGCCATATTCCACCGCATTACAGTTGAGCCATCCATAACTATAGTCTATTTTTATGTATGAGAGAGTATTAAAATAATAAAGCGTTTGTAATCCATAGGCGTAACACTTCTTTTAGTAGACAGTTAAAATATTTTTTGAAGTTATTCCTCGAGTATACACTTATATTTTCACCTAATTAACCTGCTTATAACTTCTAAACAGCTGAAGGTAAAAAAGTGTAATTTTTTCTATTCATTTTTCCACAAGGTATGTTAAGAACATTGTGTCAAACGGGTTATGTAGGTATAAGGGTTTAAACTTTGACTTTTAAACAACGTTACGTTCATAAATAATAATTTTAATATAAATACTTCTTACCTACAAATCCAAATCAGAATCGAAATCAGAAGATGAACTGTCGCAACCAATATTTACAATGAGTGGCTCGATCATTTCATCAGTAATATTGTCCAACTTCCACATTTTCTCTTCTTCTTTAATCGTATGATTTACTGCCTTTTCCCAGTTTTCAGGCTTTACATTATTTACAGCCTCCAAAAACAACTGTTTAACATCACTCATTTTAAAAGAATTATTTTTTCTTGAAACTTCTCCCTTTATTTGTGCCCATATCAGTTCAATCGGGTTTACTTCGCAATGATATGGTGGTGATCTAACCACCGTCATCCCACGATTTTTTGCAATTTCATCAATTTCATATTTTTTGAATTTCTCTTTATGAAGGGAACACAAATGATACAGTTCTTTTCTCACAGAACCGGGTTGGAACTTAACATTCTTTGAATTTAGCTAATTCTGTAAATCTTTTTTTAACCACTTGGTTGTGGGCATTTTTTCTATAAGTCTCGAGTGATAACTTGCATTATCCATTACTATTATACAGTTCTGAGGAAGAAGATCTATAATTTGTTCGAACTACTCTTTAAAGACATCAGCATTCATGTCCTCATGGTAGTCACCGGTACGAGTAGATTTGAAAGTCAATAAACCACCTTTAACAAAACCGTTTGAACTACCGATGTGTACTATTATTAGTCTACGCCCCTTTCCTGATGGTGGATTTAAACCAGTAGATAAATTATTTAAAAAAGCCTGTCTTCGACTTGTAACAGTTTCATCTTGCCAAAATTTATTTGGTTTATGTCCCTCGTTGATCCATGTTTCATCTAAATAAAATATATTTCTTCTTTGGTTTCTCATTTCTTTTATAGTTCTTAGGTAATTTCTTCTCCATACTACAATATCGCTTCTTTCTATTAAAATAGACTTTCTGGAATGCTTTTTCCATAGAAAATCTATTTCTTTTAAAAGTTTCCATACTGTGCTTCGACTCATTTCAGGGTAATCCTTATCATCTCGAACCGTGGCAAGAACTTTGTCTACTGTCGGAAATTCTTTTCTAAAGAAGAACGCATGCACTTTCCTTCGAAGTCTTTCTTTCAAAAGATTTTCTAATTGAAATTTTGGTTTTCCTGGAGCTTTACGTGCTGTTTGAAACTCGCCACATTTCTCTTCTTTAACAACTCTGTAAATCGTAGATTTCCCAACACCAAGCGTACTACTAACTAATTCCACTGTGTCATCAACACTTTTATATAAATGTTTGTCTGTAAATGATTTAAAACAATTAAATATTAATGTTTTTTCATTAACTGTTAAAGGACCGATTTTTTGTCGTTTACGCGGCCCTTCCAAATTTTCCATGATCACACTAGAATTCACACTGCACCTTGCAAGTTGCAACTAAATGACATTTAGTAAACTGTCAAGAATACACAACTTGGACCTCCTTACTAAATGGAAAACCTATAATCGCATTTTTGGTGAAATTTGTTGGGATGGTATTTATCTACTTATAATTCGATTACTGTAAGAAATTCTTGGAATTAAAATAAAACAAAATTGGCAAATAGGTACTTATTGAAAATAATCTTAAGATACGGCTATGTAATCTTTAATACACAGGGCCACCGTACATAAACAAAGAATAGTAAATCCACTCTCTGTACAGACCAGTCCAACGCCGCCAGTCGAAAGAGCATGCAATCAGCCTGCGCTCGCTGCTTAATACACCTGTATGCCCGAGAGTGTGTGAAGAGACAAAAACGGCGGCAAGCTTGTGTGCAAAAAACTTCAAAGGCGACTGGGAGAGTGGATTTACTATTCTATGTTTATGTACGGTGACAGGGCTTTTGGCCTGTCCAAACCTTTTTCTATTGTTCTGTACAGCTTATGTTTATAAAGGACCAATAAAAGACCCAAAACTTGCAATAGCTCAGGTACATTTATTACAATTTTAGGAAATATTTAGATTATTCTGTAAAAATATTTAAAATGACCGTACTAAGTTTTGCATTAGAAATGCTGTTTTATTACTCTCTCATACATAAAAATAGACTATATCTCATAAATCGACCCATGCCACGAAGACTATAGTACTCATTTTCGAGAGTTTTTGAGGTACCGTTATCCAGCGCATATATTTCCTAAAAGCTTTGACCTATATAAGTATCGTATATTTGAACGCAGAGGTTAAGCAACCAGAAATACTACCATAAAATATAGTAAATCATTTTAGGCCATAAAATACAACGAATACTATAATCTTAGATTTTCTCAAAACTAGAAATAATGAGTTACTATAGTCATGTGTCGAAATGTTAAAACTCTTTTTGCGAGGTTTTACTAGGAAGAAGTTAAGTAGATCCTTCTGGCGATTTTTTTTTTTTGTTGAAGGCTATCCAAATCAGAGGTAACTAACTTCATCCTGTTCATCTAACCTCACTTCTCACCTTTTTCTATCTATACAATTATGTATTTTTATATACAATATGTTAACTTTTTACACCTCTCTCCTGAGAACGGTATAGAAAACTAATGCTTACTGGTACAGCTATTGAACAGATTTGCTATCCCACTACCGGTAGAGGTGTAACTATGATGCGCCCAATTACGGCAGGTGGATAAGTGGTAGGCGAGGCGAGAGCTACTCTTTTTGATAATTAATTTTAGTACCTAGCCGTTAATTATTTTTCATTGATGGTATCCATCTTTTTAACATAGATAATTAAAAACTTTTTGGAAGTTTCAAAATGAAAGGTTTTGGATAGATTTTTTATTTTCATTTATTTTTATTTTTGTTTGCATTTTGTTTTTGTTTTATTTTTTTGTTTGTATTTTGGTTTTGTTTTTTGTTCCTTTTATAAAAAAAAACAATGCCTTTATTTTGTAACTATTTCAAAACTAATAGATTTATAAATTTCAAAATTTAAGAAAATATTTATAAAAAGTGTAGAAACGTAATTTTGCGAACATTTTCAAATTTTATTAGATGTTAAAGTTAGAGAGTATCAAAGTTGAATTCTTACTTGTTATACATTTGACATTGGAGCCTTTATTTCACTATTTCCAAACTAATATATTTATAAACTTCAAAATTTTAGAAAATATTTATAAAAATTGTAGAAACAGAATTTTGCAAACATTTTAAAATTTTAATAAGTGTTCAAATTAGAGAGTATCAAAGTTGAATTCTTACTTGTTATAAATTTAATATTGTAGCCTGTCTTAGTACGACGGAACGGAAGTAGAGGTGGGAAGGACTGGCACGATCAATTGTTATTTTGGAACTTTTTAAATACTTTTGAGAGTATTTAGACTTTAAAATATGTGGCCACATAGCGGAGAAAGAGGAATACTACCTATGATCGTTGAGAACAGTGCTGACCTTCCTCAACTTGTGACGTTTTCACTAAACACGCGTCGCCTTTATCACCATAACATTTTTGTAATCCTCTTTATTTTGTAAATATGTACATGTATCATAAAAATGTCAAAAATTAAATAATTAAAGCTATTACTACAATGCGTATTAAAGTGTTAATCCCCTCTCTCACCATATTTACTTATTCATCATCTCAGGATATGCTTAAAGGTTTTCAACTAGTTTTGTATTACCTAATTAATCTAACCTGATGTCGACGGTATTGCCAATATTTTCGTTTCTATACAATTTTTACAAACTTTTATATTTTAATTTTATTTTTAACGGTTTTAACTTTAATAGGTTCCAATGGAATTTATTAAACGATTTAAGCTCATTTAGTTTATTGTTTAAAGGAACAGAAGTAGCTGGAAATATATTTATTAAAAGAGAATTCGAATCAGTGGAACATAAAATAAAACCGATAGAACCAGATCTATCGAAAAACGTTGATCCTCCAATCAAGAAACGCAGAGGTAGACCCAAAGGCAGCAAAAACAAGAAGTATAAAGTTCAAGCACCGAGGCGACCACGTGGTAGACCACCTAAAAAACCCGCAAACTTTTGTTGTCTTGAAAATCAGGAAAATTTGCAGTTTAAAGCGAATTTAAAACAGACACATGAAAACCAAAATCAATCATCAAATTTAAACACCGTCATCAAAGATGATATTACTGGAATTGTTATAATTTAATTTGTTTTTGTATTTTTGTTTGATATGCATTTGGTTATAAATAATTTTATTGAAACTATTTTAAAAATCAACAAAATAGTATCCTAGTTATGTTGGTAAATGGTGTTATAATCCTTTTGTCAGATGTTTTTACAAAATAAAGTTCTATAATAAAATCGGTGAATTTTTTTATTATAATTATATAATAATGTTTGACATAATATAAACAAAAAACGTTTAAAATCCTAAATAACTTAAGAACCTACATATATATTTTTTAATTCTTAGATTTTTCCAACCCTGGTTCAGAATAGTACAAAATAAATAGCTGATTGCCTAAATTGATTGCTTTTATTAGGACTTGAACCCGGATCATGAAATCCAAATTTAAGCGCTTAACTACCTGCACCATGAAGGCTTATATGAAGGTAATTGTCTTATCAAATAATATGTGAATTAGCCTTTTTTACAATAACTTTTTTAAGACGTCTTCCTCGGTTGCTTTATCAGTGTAGGTATGCAGCAAAGTATTTCCACATTCTTCAAGGCAAGATAAATATTTGAAATTTTACCTCACTGGCTACTTTTCTATTATATATTTTTGCCACAATTTTTTTTTTGTTAAAATATTGTTCCTATTCATTACTGACTAACCTACAATTTTATTTTAAAAATCTTACAAACTAATTACTTATCTAAGAAGTCCCCATTGGGCTGTCTTAACTGTTTCTATAGGAAAGAATCACAAGTTGGCGTGACGATTTATTACACTGTTTTACACTAGCACTAACATTAACGTTCACTGCACTAGCTCAAATGGCTTCTTTCTTTTGAGCCTTCTGTTGAGTGTAGAGTTGTCCAGTAATTGCAAAGCTTCTTCGTTGACGTGGGAGTGGAGTCGACCCTCATGTTTCAGAGCAAACCTCTTTATTTCTTCTTCGATTGTTGGCATCTTCAGGTCTCTATGAAGATAATCGTTTTGGTAGAACCAAGGTGCACCAACAATGCATCTTAGGACTTTATTTTGGAAAACTTGTATCATGTTGATATTACTCTTGCTGGCACATCCCCATAGCTGTATGCCATAAATCCAGATTGGTTTTAGGATTTGTTTATAAATCAGCAGTTTGTTGTGCACTGTCAATTTGGATTTTCTTCCTAGGAGCCAATACATTTTTTTGAATTTAAGTTCAAGTTCTTTACGCTTTTTTTATGTGTTCTTTCCATTTAAGTCTTACATCTAGGTTCATCCATAGGTATTTGGCCGAATCGTGATGCGGAATAACGTCATTGTTTATTTTTATTTGTTTTTGTTCATTTGGTCGAAGAATAAAATCAACATGCACTGATTTAGTTTGATTTATTTTTATTTTCCACTTTTTTGTCCATCGATTGATTCTGTTGCAGGTTTCCTGAAGTTTTTCTGAGGTCTCTGTATTAGTTCCGCCAACTGCCGATATTGCAGTGTCATCCTCTGAATTTACTCTCTGTTGTAAGGTGGGTCTCAGAAATCAGAAATATATCTATTTTTTGCACATCCAAGAAAACTTGGATATCAGTTTGTTTTTGGAGAATACCATTGGCATTCCAAGTGGCTATTCTAATATCGCTTTTGTCCATTGCTGGTTTTGTTATATGTTTGGGGTTTATTTAATTCTTCTAGCTTCTGGATCCTGTCAGAGAGTATTCTGATTATTAAGGATAATAATAATTCATGAGTAGCACTGTCTGCTAAGCTGGTTGACTGTGAAGTATGCTGCGCAATTTGTGGCGTGGGATTCATGGCTGGTTGTGACCTTTGAATTGGTTGCTCCTGTGAGTTTGTTACCTGAGAATATGTTATTTCATTTCTGACAGTAGGAAAAGCGTTTATAGATCTCTTCTGCCTCGTCATTATTTTAGGTTAAGTGGTGTTATCCTTCCTTATCTGAAAGGTTTTAGCTACCTCACATCCTCTGTAGTTAGAGGATGTTCCATTAGGCAGTTTATACACTTCGGTTGTTCTTCTGGACTTTTTACACAATCCTTCGTATGATGTTTTATTACGCACTTTACGCATTTTGATTCTCTTTTGCAAAAGTTGTGCGTATGTCCAAATAGCTGGCAGTTTTTACATTGCGGAACTAATTTTGACTTTCTTATGGTTTCTATTCTAATTTTTAGATTAAGTATTTCTTTGATTTCGTAGATATTCTTAATATCTTCAATATTTTCGAATGATAGCATGAATAGGGGCAATGGTTTTTTATTTAGTTTACGAGTGTTATCCTCGGTTAATTCTATTTCCTTCTTTATTATATTGACAGCTTCTTTACATTTTAATCCTTGACTTTGCAAGTCTTCAACATTATCTTCTGGTTTAGATATAGATGGTGGACCTCTAACCACTACTTTAATGTCTCTGTTCTGTTTAATTTCATAGGAATGCTAGTATCAGAATGAACCATGGACACGTAAGTACTGTCTTGAAAAAATATTGTAGGAAGTACTATAATTATTTATATGTTTTAACAGTAGTAATAAAATAATATGTATAATACATTATTTTTTCTACAAATTCTTATAAGAGTGTCAATTTAACAGTATTTCTATAAAGATATTAGTGTTATTTGCGCAACAAAAGTGTACTTGATAGCCATATCGCACGATTAATTAATCGTCCTCTCGAGTTGAACACTATACTTTTTCTACGACCTACTAAATAAAATCTAAAAAATTTAAAAAGTGACTTTTAGATTTTGACATATAAAGTAATCTTAGCAAGTGTCAAAATTATTTCATGCATAAACATTCGTCTGATTGTCTGTATATATGCAGACATGATAACACTAGCCGGGAAACCTATTGATTTGCACAATTTTCGGTTTAGATTTAGGTTGTTGTGATATGTCAACTTCAGAATAAGATAACAGGGGTCACTCAAATAAAAAATAGTCAGGTGCGAGAGTATTTAAATCTGCGTGTTATTAGAGGTACTGCTCGAGATAGTTTCCACTCTATTTGAGTTTGAATTAATGTAGGACACCCTTTGCCTAAATAATAAAGACCAGATTGAAGCAAGTCATAATATACATCAACTTTTAAAAAGTATATCAATCTCTGATGATGGATTAAATGTTTTATCTACGAAATAATCTTTGAAATGATTTTTAAGTGATTTTATCCATATTGCACATACAATTTTATTAAGGTATGGAAGAATCCAAATGCGGAGAAATGCCAATATCTCTTACATTACTTTCATTATTGCTAATCTCAGATAATTGATAATTGCATGGTTTAACACCTATTGTTTTAACAAGAGAGCGAATAATAAAAGACATTTGACTACCAGTGTCAAGAAGTACTTTTGTGATTATATTTGTATATAAGCAGCTTTTCTAGTTAGCTCTGATGTTTTTGTGGAGTAACAGTGATTATTTGATTAAGAGGAGTCAGAGTTTAGGGCAACTACTGCTTTCTTTTTTGGTGTTGGTGCGTTTTTTACAAAATATCGCTGTAACAAAAAATGTATATATCTCTATGACAGTGATGTATTTTATCTTGTTAAAAGGTGAATTGTCAACACAGATGAAGGGCCAAAATATAATTTTTAGGGTAAGTTTAAAAGGTAGAGACTCCAAATATTTCTACACAGGTGGGATTAAAGGGAATAAAGGTCCAGATGTTTTTACTCGAACATGACTGCATGATTACGTATTCTATCATATCTATACCTGTCTCTGTGTTGGAACTGTTACCATTGCTTCAATAAGCTGTCTTAGCTATTAATACATAATATATTTTTAAGTTTGCATGCCTAATGATGGTTAATGACCGAAACAGTTGTTTCTTATAAAAAAAATTATGGTTAAAACTTTGTTTTTTATTATAATTATTATTAATTATTATTATTATTATTATTATTATTATTATTATTATTATTATTATTATTATTATTATTATTATTATTATTATTATTATTTGTAAGTTTTATACACCCCACGTCTGTTTAAAATTAAGAAATTATTGTGAATATTTAAAAACTGCAAACAATTGTGTATACAAATATAATCAATGTAATTAATTGCAAATTTTTCCTGAAAACCGAATGAAAAATAAACCAACAGGAATTTTATTTCAATATAGGAGATGTCCTGCCCAGTTACATATTACAAGGGATCTATTGCGGTAAATTAATGTTTGTTTATCAATTTTTCTTTTTAGTTCGTATCTTCTTCACCGGAGGCAGACACAACACACCACGAATTATCGTACACGAAAACTGCTTTAACGTGAACAAAAGACGAGAAGGCTGGAGCTTTTGGAGATGCGCTTCGCATAAAAAAACTTGTTGCGTTTGTACCGCCTCTACTACTGCCGGAAAAATATGTATCAGAGGAAAACACAATCACGAACCGAATGCGGATCACCACGATTTCAGCGAACTGCAATCTAAAATTGTTTGCGTGGATTACAGATGTAGGAGAAATAAATAAAATAAAGAAAATATGAGTTGTGGTTTAATTATTTCCAATAAATGGTTATTTATATATAGAGGTATTTCCTGATTGTAATATATTTTTTACTTAAAAAACACTACGGGCCTATCTAGTGTTGTTAATCTTACAATATCGCCAAAAAAAGCGTGTCTTTTTTGTTTGTGGTTGTTTCCAAGTAGTATTTTAAGATTTTTACCACACACTAGTCTATGTGTTGTTCTTTAAATTCTGGAAATTTCAGTAGAGATGTATTGTTTTTTATCATATTCGTATTTTTTATGTTTCCATCCCCCTTTTTATCAATGTTTCCTAAGTACGAAAATAATATTTAAAAATAACATGATCTAACTCTGTACGAAATATACAGTATTCCAATTATTCATTATCTTTCTCTACTTTGCCGGTATAGACGATCTGGGGGTCGATTCTCGACTTTTATTCCCATGGGAAAATAAAATTTTCCCATGGAAATTCAGTTTTCGTATTCTCGGCATAAGCGGTGGAATATTTTCCAATGAAAAGTATGGGAAAATATTCCCCTGCTTGCGAGCATTGGAAATTGTGTTTTCCAATGGGAATTGTACTAGAGTTTGCGCATTAAAGTCGAAAATTTGACGAAAGACCACGCGAAGACTAAGACATAACCAAAGATTATTGGATATCTTGGATTTTTGGTGAAATTGTAGTTAAAACATGTTTTT